CCCCAAAACCCCAAAACCCCGTGATGAGAATTTGGAAATAATAGATAAAGTCTTTAATAGATAGGAATAATTTAAATTTGAATTTGGGAGGATTTATAATTAAAAATTTGAATAATAGATGAAAGCTGACGCTAGTGAGGTCTTGAGACTTCGAAAAGAACTAACGCATGCCAGAAATCACGCTGCTGATCTTTAAGAAGAACTTGAAGAGAAGAATAACCTATATATTAAAGCTATCTAGGTAAGTCATAACCCCATTACTCATTTTAATTGTGAATATTCCTCACAAATCTAATCAGACTTTATATTCAAATATTAACTTCCTAAAAGGACAGAGATTCCTACAAGGAGAAACTGAACAATGTGAAGGATACTGTGAACAGAGTTGACAACATAGTTTAATTTTAAGTGAACTAAATCTTGGAAAAAGAAAGAAAAGAACTCACTACTTTGAAAGAAGATAAGAAGTTACTGTTACAAAGGATCGAAATGCTTGATCAGGAAAAGCATGCAAATCTGACAAGAGAAAGGAATTAGCAAGAAAAGATCTTGACTCTATAAAAGAGTCTTTAAGAGCTGGGTAAAGATAAAGAGTCACGCAACTTTATCGAGAAGATTGAAATAGCGAGAAACTAAATGAATGCTAAGGATCAAGAGATAGGCAAGTTACTTAAAGAACTTAATAAGAAGGAAAGCGAGCTAGAGAACATGATGGCTGAAAATAGAACTCTAAGATCAATGGCTAATGTACCTCAAAACTTTGGTATTGACACAGAGTAAATCAAGTTCTAGGATAAGGAGAAGATTGATGACTACAAGAAATTAATCAGAATTCTCCAGGATGACAACTACAGACTGGAGGAGGAGAGAGCGAAGCTTAAAAACATGCTTAAACATCAATCGCTCTTGTACAAAGCAGACCAGCCCTAGATGAGATTTAAGGATTTAACCAAAGAACAACTCTTTTAGCTTGATCAGTACATATTAAGGTTAAAGTCTGGAGACACTACTGAACCTGCAGATTACTACGTTTTAAGGGAAGAGAATAAAAAATTGAAGGCTTAACTTGATGTAATGAATACCTAAGGATTTGAACACACAAGGGTTTAGATTGAGCTACTATTAAAGCAACTTGGATTTGGCGATACTGGTAAATTCCAAGAGCAAATGCTAGCAGGAAACCAAAAACTTCTTGAAAAGATCTTAGAATTATTAAGCAAAGGCAACTTCGGAAGTTTCCCTAGCTAACCTGGGTCAGTAGTAACTAATACATTTGATTTCGGTCCATTCAAACCGCCACTCCCAAGTATTGGAGTAGATGGAGATATCACATAAGGCTACACTTTCAAGTTTAAATCTTATTTAGATGTTCTCGATAGAGATGGAAGAGCAGGACTAAAGGATCCAACCAAGTATGATGTGGCCTTCATGCAACTTCAACTTTGTGAATTTATTGAGTTGATTAAGAAGAAGGATGATGACTTGAATTACAAGAATAATGAAATTGAGCATCTCTATAAGAGAATCAGAGATTACTTACTTGTTTAAGACTAGCTGTACAAGGACTTTGTCAAAATGGAAAAAGATCATGATAAGAAGACAAAAGAACTCGAAATGAAATTAAGAGCTGCAGAGGAGAAGTATATGCAAGAAGAGCTCAAATTCAAGAAAGTATAAGCAGCATTGGATGTCATATCCACAGGTAACACTGATAAGATAAAGGAGAGAATAATTGAGCTAACTAAGCAAAATGCTATTCTTGACATTAACTTGCTCAGACTTACCAGAAAATATCAAATACTTGAAGAGTAAGAAGAACTAATAAGAAGAGAATACCATAATAAGGAAGCAGATATGGCTGAGAAGGACAAATATGTCTAGGAAAGAATTAACAAGCTCAAAGAATATAAGGCAAGAGCAATCTAGTAACTGAAGTTCTTATTTAGCAAGCTAAGACTAGCTGTTCCAATGACTGAATACCAAACTGTCTAGAGTGAAAATGAGATATTGAAGTAGAAGAATGCTGACTATATCGACAAGAATAGTCAACTTTCACTAAAAATATCTCACTTGCAAAAGTAGCAGAGAGAATTCTTAGAGGCTGATGAGAAGCTTTAGCTTATGAGAGAAAGTAAAGAAGACCTAGAGAATGAGTATGAAATGCTTAAGCAGAGATTAGAGACTGTGGATTAAACATTCAGATGGGAAAACTCTATTTTTAATAAGATCGTGGCAACTTTAAAGAGATATAAGGTGTCTCCATAATAAGCATTTGAAGCATTTGATAAAGATAAAAATGGAATGGTAGACAAGAATGAATTCTTAGAAGGTCTGAGCATGCTTAAAGTACAAGACTTATCTCATCAAGAACTTTAAATTCTAATGGGGTCAATTGATTATGATAGCAGTGGGCATATTAATTATAGAGAATTTGTTAGAAAACTTTCTAGACATGGTGTTAAAAGTAGAAGCAAGGAGGAGCAAATCATCTATCTTATTGTAGATGCTCTAAAAAGATCTGGTATTAAGAGTCTTTCCGAGGCATTCGAGCTTTTTGATAAGAAATAAACAGGTACATTGTCAAGAGAAGATTTTAAAGACATCTTTAAGAATATGCATCTGAAGTTAGATGAAAACGACATCGAAAAATTCATTGATAATTTTTGGAGGGAAAAGAAAGCTGGTATTGATTACAGAGAGTTCTTAAGAATATTTGCTAGGTACTAAGTCAAATTAGATTAATCTGCTAAATAAATATCTTACACTAGAATATCTGACGAGGCTCTTAGAACTAAGAAAGACCTCTACATGAAAATCTAGAGGATATTGAAGGATAATAGCAAAGAACTAAAGAGTTTATTTACTAAAATGGATGCAGATGGCTCAAGTGAGATAGAATTCCCCGAACTCTATAAGATGTTCATGGATATGAATCTCCAGATAAGTGAGGCTGATGCGAGAGCTATTTTTGAATCGATTGACTTCGATTAAAGCGGAAACGTGACATTCCCAGAATTTAAAGCTGATTTTGAAAGGACATGTGAAAATGATATCACCACTCTATTATTCCATGAAAGAGAAAGAGTAGATGAAAATGCCAAAGAGTAAACTCAGAAGAAATACAATGCCACTGGCAACTAAAGTTAAAACTAATAGATAAATAACATGAAAATCTAAATGGGACCTCAATAACAAATGGAGCTTCAGCTCTAACAAAAATTAGCCTCCCTTGAACAGAAGGAGAAGCAACTTCAAAAGAAGTTATCAACATCTCTAACAATCCTTAATCATGCTCAGTAATCTTAGATTGAGACTCAAAAGATGTATGATAAGTTGGAAAAGAACTGGAATGATTTGGTAGATTAATTCCATGCTGAGAAGCAAAAAACCCTCAATCATGAGAAAGAGCATCAATCTTGTATTAAAAAGGAGCAGGCTGATGAACTTTAAAAAACAAATTTCTAACTGTAGACTGAAGTTGTAGAAACTAAGGCAGCTATGATCACATATAAGAATATGACTGAGGTTATTTCAGATTAGGCAAGACAACTTAAGCTGGCAATGGAGAGAAAGAAAGATGAAAATGAAAATCTAGTAAATGCATTCAGAGATATGGCTTCTTAAAGTGAAGATCAAAAGAGACTTGGAAAACTTTACTATCTAATCATGCTTTCAAGATGGCAAGAAGCTGCTATAAACAAGAAATATGATATGGTGTTGACTGAAATTAAGGAATTAAGAAGAGACCTAATGAACACTGAATAATTGCTTCATAATAAGGAATATGATCACCATGAAGCTGAAAATGTGGTATAAGAGTAGCAATTAAGAATTGAAGAGCTAAGGAGAAAAATAGATGATTCGAAGAACATATTCCTAACACTAGATAAAGCTGAGTTTTTAAACAACATCATTAGAGAAATTACTGATGAAAAATGCGAATTAGAAGAGTCCTACTTCCATATCAGATCTAAGTACAGGTCAAATCAGTTGAAGCTTGATGAGGCTGAAGCTAAGGCTGAATATGCTTCAGAGTAGTTAGAATTCCTACAAAGAAGCAAGCTCCCAGACATAAGTGAAAGAATGATAGACCTTAGCAATAAGCTTTAAAACATCAGACTTCTTCAAATGAGAGCAGAAAGAGAGTCTACTGAAAAGAAAGAAGAAAATACTTATCTCTCAAGGCTTTTAAGATAATAAAATGATAATGTTAGAAAACTAGAGGAAAAAGCAGCAGAATATGAGTCTAGAATGCATAAAGAGAGAGAAGAACACAGAAGAGCTGATAATGAAAGAATGAAAAAGTTCTTTAATGCTAGATTTGATAACATTCCTGCAGCATTTGGAACAGATGAAAGCTTGATGATATCATCCAGGACTAAAGGATTTAGAGATAATTTGAAATCCCCTGTAAGCAATATTATGGGTATAAATCAAATCAATATTGAAAAGGCTTATACTGATTCTGAAATGAGATAAGAACCTGATCATGTTAGAAGACTTTAATCTATGTAAAGCAATTAAAGTGCCTAGCAAGATCCTAAGTATTTGGAAGGCAAGCTTAAGAAATTAGAAGCATAACTCAGAGATGCTTTAGATGAAATCAGACATAAAGATTAAACTATTAAGAAATTCAGTGACTGGCAAATATCTGAAAAGATTTTCTCAGAAGATGAAGTATATAAGGATTTGATAGAAAAACATAGAGGTAGTGCAAATCAAGTCCATGAATAAGAAGCAAAAGAAATGGCAGACGCTGCTGCTTAGATGGTTAGATCTTTATAGGAGATGCTTGATCAAAAGAACGAACAAATTCAGAAAAAAGATGATGTTATTAAAAAATTGAGAGAACAAATGATCTAGCAGAGAGAAAAAGATCATCTTGAAATAGCTAAGCTCCAAAATGAGATGTCATTAGCTTCAAATAATGCTCTGACTAGTTTGAGAGAAATAGTAATTAAGAATCAAGCAAGCACAAACATGACTATTTACGGCACTAGCAAACACGATCACAAGACTAGAGAAGAACTCTCCAGAAATCTTGATGAAAAGGACTTATTGATACATCAGCTTCAAAGTGAAATTAAAGGTTTTTAGCAATAGCTAGGATTTTAGAAACAGAAAAATGAGCAAATTGTAGATTAAGTTAGGGATCTTGAATCTGAGTTAAGACATGAGAGATAGCAAGTAGAGTTGAAAACCAAAGTGAGGGAACTTGAAAATGTCAAGAGAGAACTTGCAAAGAAAGACAAGTATCTTGATAATCTAAAAAATACGATAAATGAATTGAACGATAAACTGCTGAATTTGAATGTGCAAAAAGAAGAAAATTCAGAAGACAAAAAAATGGTCAAGGTGCAAGAAGGTCTTAAGGAAAAAGAGCATAAAGAGGAAATAAAGAATCTCTAAGCAAAAATAAGCATGATTTCAGGGTCTAGAAAGGCTGTTGAAAAAGACTTAACAGATGAAAAGCTCAAGCATTAGGAATTAAAAGAAAAATTCTCTAAGCTTGCCAAAGATCATGAATAAATTTAGAAACTTTACAGAGACGAATAAACAAGACTTCAAAGATAAATAATGGAAAAAGAAAAAGTCTCTGTTGAACTTAATCAAATTAAGGGAAGATCTCAGATTGGCTAAGGACTAGGAATGTCAAATGGATTATCATTTGAATAACTGCAAGCTAGAATTAAAGAACTTGAAAATGATGTTTTCCTTCTAAACTGCTCTCAAAAGACAGTAGTCGTATACAACAAGGAAAACGGTTGCTTTGAATATATTGGAGAGCCTATATATCTAATAAAAGAAAGAGAAATCGCCGACATTGATGAATTCTTAGCTTCATTGAAATCATGGCTCAATAGAAACGATAGATTAACATTGAGAGCAGTTTTTGAAAGTCTAGACAAGGAAAACTTCGGTGAGTTGAGTGAAAGTAACTTTGATAAGGCCATGCTAAAACTAGGAATACAATTAAGAGCTCAAGAGAAGAAATTGATTAAGGATGTTCTAGATCCAAGGAAAATTGGATTTATCAGATATAGATCGATAGTAAGAGAACTTTAAGGACTCCCGTAGATTGAATTCATTCCTAGAGAAGTTCTAAAATTAGCAGAACTTGTTGAAACTAGAGACTTAACTCAAAGAGAGTTTAAATTACTGTTGGATCCAAATCAAGAAGAGTCTATGAATCTTACTTAGCTACAAGATTCAGCCAAGCATGTTGTTAATGAGCAGTTTAAAATGAGCTCCTAAGAGTTTGAAAATTTGTTTAAGCATGTTACTAAGAGTGCTAGAACGATAGGAGTTGTAATGAGCGTTCATAGATTAACTGAAAAAGTATATACAGCTGTTGATGCATTGCTTATTGAAAAAGTGAAGGAAGCTATTTTAAGATCAAATAGATCATTCAATGATAACTTTAATAGACATGACTCTAACAAGGATGGCTTCTTAGAATACCCGGAACTCGAAAATATGCTTCTTGAATGCTAGTTAGCAATAAAGCCAAACATGCTTAATAGAATCTATATGATCCTTGACAATGAAAAGAGAATGTCTAAGATCAGTTTTAATAGCCTTAAGTTTATGGTGAATGCTGAAAATTCCCAAGGAGGAGTTGGACATTCATTCGCTGAGAGATCATATGATTACCACCCAACTTTGGATAGAGTATCATTATCTGAGGAAACAACATAAGAAGATCTGTTTATTTGCAGAACTGCAGCAAGAAAGATTCTAACTCACTTCTAAGTTTCAAATAATAAGTCACTCAGAGACATTCTTACTGAGAGAGACAAACATAATGAAGGTCTTATTGCAAAAGATGAAGCTATGGAATAAATAAAAGAAGCTAGAGTTAGTGAACTAAACAATGCTGAGTTGAATATCATTATGAGATATGCGGATAAATTGAACAGAGGATATATTGTCATAGATGCATTCTTGGAAAAGCTTGTTGAGCTTACTGTTGAAACTAAACAAGAGATTATGCTAAGAACTTTTGCTATGAATGTTAAGAGATAAGGAATAAACCTCAAGCAAGAGTTGTTCAAATATGATACAACAAGAACTGGCAGATTAGATAAGAGAACATTCCAAAAAGCTATCAATCAATTACCTGTTTAAGTGAATGATGAGGGTGTTGATCACTTGTTCTCAGCTGCAGAGAGTTAAGATTTCAGAGGCACTGTTGATCTTAAAATCTTACTGGATAAGGTGACTTATGCATTGAAGCAAAAGCCCCTACCGAATTTCTAGCCTCAATAAAAAACATTGGCTTAGTCAAAAGTAGCTAAAGATGCAAAATCAGGTGGAGAGGCATTCTAAAACTGGGAGGCTGAAAAGAAATATAAGACTAAGTTAGCTGCTTTACAGTAACAAATTGAGGAATCTAAAAAGGAGTCATAAGCAGCAGAGAAGCAAGCAAAGCACTGGCAAGAAGTGGCTAATAAACTAGAGAGAGAGAAAAATGGACTCTAAGCAAGGTTAGTAGACCTTAACGCAAAGCCCCCTAAAGCAGCAAAAGAAGAATCAACTTCTCAAGCCTAGACTGAAATGATGTAGCACTTGAAAGATCAGGTATACTATCTTCAAGAAGAGAATCAGAAACTTTAGAAGAACATACAAGTCGAGCTTAAAGCTGAAATAGGAAGATTGCAAAGAGATAATGAAAAATTGGTTGAAAGATCAAGGCATTCTTAAGACGAAGCTAAAAGAATGGAGTACTAGGTAAACAGGTTGATTGGAAAGCCAATGGACAATATCGAGAAAAGAGAGGAAGGGGAACTCTGGAGAGAGAGAAGAATCTAAGACTTGGAGAAAGAGCTTCAAGATGCCGCTCAAAGAGAGCATGATCTTTAGGAGTAGCTTTTCAAATGCGAAGAGAGACTTCTAGACCTTAAATTCTAAAAAGAAACCTTTGATCTTCAATATGCTAGACTGCAAAAGAGAATTACTGACCTGGAGTAGTACAAACTTGAGAGTTCTAAATATTCTGCTGTCCTAAAGAATAAAGAGGATATAGAGCTAAAGACTATTGAAGAAAATTCTAATACTCTATCCAACTTAACAGGAGTTCAGCCTGGTTCAAAGAAAGCGTAAGATACTGTTAAGTTAAGATCAAAGCCTTCAAAATCTGTAGCAGAACTTGAAATGCTAGTTGAATCACTCAAGAGAGTAATTGAAAAACAGAAATCAGATAACGATGCATTGAAAAAGCAGATTGAAGCAGTTGACAAGCATCAAGACAAAGTTAAATCTGAGAAATAACTCAGACAAAAAATTGAAGCTCTCTCCCAAGAGGTTCACTCTTATGAGATGAGAGATGTCAACGTTGAGGAAAAGGATAGAACAGTCAAGAAGCTGATTGAAGCTAACAGATATCTGAGAGAAGATTTGAAGAAAGAATCTGATAGATATTCTATGCTTGAGGGAAAATATAAGGATTTGCTTTTGAAGTACAATGTTTTAGCCAAGGAAAATGCCAAAAATGCTGAACTTGTATTTTCTATGAATACTGGAGCTAATATTCACAATTACGAGAATCATTTGATGGAGAGTGATAACAAAAAAAGCAATAAATTTGGGACTGCTCCAGATAGAGATAACTCAAATGGAATGAAAAGAGGTTACAATGACTATGACAGAGATTTTGATAGAGCATATTGAACCATTTCACCAATTGATAATTGATTTTAAATGAAAACTAAATTTGATTTAATAATTCACCTCTAAATACTCACGTTCGATACTCTTGGGGTTTTGGGGTTTTGGGGTTTTGGGG